ACTCAGTGCTATTCCTGGAGCTGTTGAGCAACATGCAGCCTTTAATATATTTATCCTCAATTATCTTTCTGGTTTGCATCTATTATTACTCCATCTGGGAAAACAGGGTACAGAAAAGTAAAACCAGAAGTCAGACAGCCTGTCTGCAGCACAGCAAGTAATTGGACCCCTGGATCCCAAGCCGCCACTGTAATCACTGTAGCGCATTCCTCAAATCTGTAATAATTAAAATGACTGACTTGAGCCGTTGGTTGATGTGGTGGGCTACATTTGGGAATATGAGAACAGGAGGGCAGTGAGCTAGTGAGAGACTTTTTCTGGCTCTTCCAGTAGTTTCTAAGCATTAGAACACTGAATTTATTAAATAACTAAAGATCTTGATTTCACAGACCAGTTTGATTTCACGTCTATGAGTTCATGTTTTAACTCATCTCAACTTAAAAATGGAACATAAAGTTACTACAGGAATTTAATAGTCATTAAAGAACTCTGAAGTGCAGTTAATAAAAGTGTTTTATCTATGTATATGTATACACATCTCAACCTCTATTAATCATTCTAACAATGTGCCTGAGTTTGGATAATCTCTTTTAATAAGTGTTCATGTGGGCGATCTGCTAGTCGTTGCCAATTTCCTAAATGAATACCTTAATTTCTATACGATTTTTTCATAAGATCTTGAATTAAGACTACAGAAGAAGACACCCTGATACTATCAAGTCTTATGAGTTATCTCCACTAGTTTGTGTAGCCCTCCTACTCGAGTAACACCAGTCTGGGGGTGTTAATTTATTGTGGCTCTCTGTTGCATTTAGCAAAGGGATTTAACAAGAAATACTAGCCTGGGATACTGGAAAGAAGTGACTTATAGATGTCATTTTGCTAGTTTAGATTGTGAACTGTTCTTAATTTCTTAAATGGGAGCAGCTGAATATCGGGTTAACTAGGAGGCTGCTGTTTGCTTAGAGTCTACAGTTAGATTTTACAGTTGAAGCATTCGTTAATTCAAAGAATTCTTTCAAAATAAATAAATACATATTCAGGAGTAAGAAGCCATTGGCTCATATGGTTGTTGTGGCTTAATCTATTAGAAGGTGAATTCTTAAATTTCGTTATCTCTTGCAGCAGTAACCCCTTAACGGTAAGCAAAGGATCTTAAAAGTTCATTATTACTCTTTTTAAATCTTTGTGATGGCTAAATGTATCTGTAGTTTGCAAACAAAGAAAAACTCCAACAACTGCACAAGTAGAATTAATATTTTGGATGTACACTGTTTCAGGAGTTCAGTGTACATTTTAATATTCTCTTATCTTCCCTATTCCTACCAGAGTTTCTCCCTAGGCACTGTTTAAAAGGCTGTAGGACTGATTTCCTATGGTATGCTCCACTTGGGGAGTGTGTCCTCAGGTTACAGCATTTCTGCTGCGAGTCCTGCTGCTGCTTTAGTTCTGTCTAGGTAAACATGGCTTAATGAGCTGTGATCAGTGCGTGTTCATGGAGGCTCTGAAAATAGTCTCTGCAAAACAAGTGGTTTATTTACTTGTTAGGATACAGAAGTCTGGGAGAAGATGGTTGAAACAACCAAAACCAGTCCATATACAGTAGTTAAGTGGTCAAGGAAGCATGTCAACTCTAATTCATCAATTAATTTTGTCACAGAAGTTAAATATAATTTTTTAGGTCTAGAGAGCCATAGATGTTACAGGCACATTGCAATAAGGTTACTTCAGTCCAGACTGGGAAATATGAGAGGTATTGCTGTAGGGCTTCTCCTTTCTCTTCCTTCTGCCTTTTTTCCTTATGTTCTCTTTTTTTTTTTTTTCTTTCCTCAGATCTGGTAATGTCTGGAGTAATATTTAATAGCAGGAAAAATTGTTAACATTTCAGTGGGTCCAGAGAAATTCTCTGGTATGGTGTATATGTTTTTAAAAGGCTGCTGAATCGTTACCTTTAGTGCCCAGCTAAATATGAATTTCCCAAGCTGGTTCAGTTTCCGCATGACCACACTTCAGATAGTGGAAGAAAAGCGTACTCAGTTCAAAACTCACTGGAAATGCTTAGTTATGGGGTTTCCTTCAAACTGAGAGATTTACTGCCTGGCTTCCCATGACAAATAAGGTGTAGGTTTAGAAATGTTTTTTTTAAACTGTAATTTCGGTTCTTGATAGATGACTTCATCACGTGTATATTGTACATTAGGTTGTGTCAGGTTTTATAACGCTGCAATGCCTGCTGCAGCACTAGGTCAGAACAGGCTCTTTAGAAGGATCGCTGATGTCCCATTCCTTATGTGTTAAGCGCATTTCAGATTTCATTCTCTTTAAGGAATGCTGCTTTGCATCAACATGACTTCTGTAAAATGATCAATATTTCCTTAGCATTGGGTAATTTAAAAAAGAAAAGGTGACAAAACACTTATTAGTATAGTTACTGTATGTAAGCCATACTGGCTACAAATGTGGTCATTTGCAACAGGGCTTTTTGAGTACCTAAGGGATTTGCATAAACGCATTGTCTTTGTTTAATTACCCAGAGCTGTAATGAGTAAAGTTTGACTGAATATTGGCTTCATGGTGCATTTGTTTGGGACTTGATCTTAAAGGTGACCTTCAAGGCTTGCTTCTATCGGTAGCAAACCTTGAAAAAATTTAAATTTTATTCTCTTAGATGCAAAACACAGGCTACTGATTGCTACTTACTCCTTTTAAGAACAGCGTGCTGTCAGAATATGAAAGTGTGGCTGCAGGTAAGCAGTGTATCTGAAAAATACAGTTTTCCAACTTCCAAAAATAAAGTGCATTCCCAAATATTTGAGGAAATAATTCTCGCTGTATTGATGTTGCGGTTACTGGATACTTGATGTATTCATTGGAAACCTGGATTTTTCAAGGGTTTGTTATTTCTGATCGTAGTCTATTCTGAGTTGAAACTCTACAAAAGCCTGGCCAGAGTTGCAAAGGTTTTTGAAGGAACAGTAAGATGATTGATAATTTTTACTTAGATGAATCCACATTTAAGTTGTAGTTATATAGTTGAACAGACACTGTGTTTTCTACAGGTAGTTGTGTAAATGCTGGTTAATGTAGTCATGTATTTCTGAGGGAAGTACTGACACCCCAGCAATAGCTACCCATTTTTCATTTGAAATTTAGATACGTGGGTATACACATTTACACTACAGTGCATTGCTGGTGTTTGGTTTGGTTTGGTTCATTTGGTGTTTTTTGGTGTGTTTGTGGGTGGTTTTTGTTTTTGTTTTTGGTTTTTTTTTTTGAGACTGAGCGTTTTTTAGAATTTTGTCTAAATTGACTTAAAAATCTAGTAAGTTAGTATTTGCACAGGGGGATATGGGCTGTTAACATTACAGCTACTTAGTTGTTCTTCTGCTTCTTTACTTTTCTTTCAAATCTGATATTTTTCTGACTTCTAGTTGCCTGTAGCTTTTGATTTAAAAAATAGCCTCTGGGAAATCAATCATAAAATATTCATTCACTTCAAGGAGTCAAGGATTTCATCTGTGTACATCCTTTTTAAACTTGTATTTACAAGTTTTCAATGGGCTTTTAGTCTGTGAAAGTGAATTGCAGAGTTAAATATGTGGAAGGACACTTAGCTTTTCTCACGTTGAATATTTATGCCAGTTTAGAACTGAATGAGTGAAGGAGTAGGCATGTGTGTTGTAGTGATCTCAATATTGACCTGTGGTGACTGTCTGAACTGTTCATGCTCCCACTGACCATTGATATAACTAAAACTGAAGAGATGCATCTAGCATAAGTGCCCTTGTTGTGCTTTTTAAACCAGCTTTTTATAGCATACTTCTGAATCCAAGGAAGTATGGAGTAGAGATACTCTCCACTCTTTGAAAATAACAGGACTTCAAGAAATACCTTGGTTTTTTGCCATTATATGTTTAATACAAGGAAAGAATGTAAAGGATATCAGGATTTGTATTTTATTGGTAAAGTAAGCACCTTTTCCACCACTCCTGTCGCATCACTCTTCTAATGACTCATGGTAGTTGGGAGTTGCAAGAACAAATTTCTACCCTGTTGTGCTGTCATACCATAGATGTTGTATTACTAGATAGTCCTGGGCAGCAGTGGCAACTTGGTTTCTACTTTTAGTGATGTCATCTTTGCAAAAACAAAAGTACTCGTATATAATGCTACCTGTTCTCTTATTTAAAAACAGGTTCAGCGTGAATCTAAATGTTGATTTTAGGCATGCCTTTCCCATTAATTCTCCTTTAGAGTGATAGTCTGCATGTCCTGTATATTTACATAATAAGAAAAAAGGTGGATGCCACTGTGAAGTAAAATCAAATTAATTTTTTTTAAACTATATTTACAGTGCTTTTAGATTTTTCTTTTCATGGTTGCTACTCCTTGTTTTCAGCTGTAGGGTAGAGAAGTTCAGTGAACACTTGCAGTAGCTATGCTTATGATAGTTAAGCTTAATTTTTGCCTAATTGCTTACATGTCCTGAATCTCTAAGACAGTATTTTGATACAAGAAAAGAGGGGTGGGAGAGGAAAGGGCAGTGAAGAAAAAGTCTTACGCAATTAGATCTTATCCTAAATATTTTCTTTCTTGACCACTTTTTTGTTTTGTTTTGTTTTTCACTTAGGAATTTTATGTGCTTGGTGGAGATGGAAAAAGATGAAAACCAAGCTGGCTTCCTGGAGAAAGAAGGCAGCAAATACTTAATGGAACTTTATTACTGTGGAAGCATGTTTTGAGTGCTCCTCCTAAACGTCTTTCATAAATATTCTAGTTATCGGCAGATTGCTATGATTGGAAACCTGGCTCATCAAACAGTACACATTGGAAGAAGCCTGTTTGGAATATGACTTTCTGTGGTGTTTCTGAAAGTCTGTGAGAAAACACTGCAGACGACATCTACCTATTATTTCTTAACTTACATCTCAATTCAGCTACAGTGAAACTAGTCTTTGAAGTGAATAGAACCAGAGCCCTTTTGGAAACTTGTGTTGAACATGACTCATGGAGAAGAGCTTGGCTCTGAGATGCACCAGGATTCTGTTGTTCTAACTTACCTAGAGGGATTACTAATGCATCAAGCAGCAGGAGGCTCAGGTACTGCAGTTGACAAAAAGTCTACTGGACCTGGTGGAGAGGATCAAAACTTTAAGATTTCTGGAAATATATTTCCCAGCTGTCAAAGTAATGGTCCAGTTCTTAACACAAATACGTATCAGGGATCTGGCATGCTGCACCTCAAAAAAGCAAGACTGTTGCAGTCTTCTGAAGACTGGAATGCAGCAAAGAGAAGGCGGTTGTCCGATTCCATTGTGGATTTAGATGGAAAAAAGGAAGCTTTGTTAGCTGGCATGGTTGAAAATGTGCCTAAAGGCAAACAGGATAGCACATTACTTGCCTCTTTGCTTCAGTCATTCAGCTCTAGGCTGCAGAGTGTTGCTCTGTCACAGCAGATTAGGCAGAGCCTTAAGGAGCAAGGGTATTCTCTTAGCCACGATTCTCTGCAAGTGGAGAAAGATTTAAGGTGCTACGGTGTTGCGTCCAGTCACCTGAAGACTCTGCTGAAGAAGAGCAAAGCAAAAGATCAGAAGCTGGACAACAGCCTGCCTGATATCACGAAGAACCTGCCCAAGGAGAGGTTTATAGAATCTCCTCATGCGGTGCAGAGCGGACCTAAAGTGATAAATGAGCCACTGTCGTGTGCGGCAAGGTTACAAGCTGTTGCAAGCATGGTAGAGAAACGATCTAGTCCTGCTGCTTCGCCGAAGCCCAGCGTAGCATGCAGCCAGCTAGCTTTGCTCCTTTCAAGTGAAGCTCACCTGCAGCAGTACTCCAGGGAACATGCTTTAAAAGCACAAAATGCCAGTCAGATAGCAAGCGAGAGACTTGCAGCTATGGCCAGATTACAAGAAAGCGCTCAGAAAGATATTGGCCAATTCGGTTTAGCAAAAGGAATGACAAGCCATCTCAATGGTCAGACAGGATCATCCACCAAAACGGTACCTAGCAAAAGCAATATGGCACCATTTCAGAGTTCAGTAGGAATCATGCATTCACCTCCCAAAAATGTGGGATACAAAAGTACTTTGGAAAGGAGTAACCTGAAAACCTCTCCCAGCAACAGTTTGCTCTTGCATCTGCTGAAAAGCCAGAACACCACCCAGCTTGTAAAAGCGCACGAGCAGAGTGAGAGAGCCAGCATTTTTGAAGACAGCAGCACACCAACAACTATTGATGAGTATTCAGACAACAATCCTAGTTTTACGGAAGATGACAGCAGTGATGATGAAAGCTCCCATTCTAACTGTCTTCCTATAGACCTCTCCTTCAAACAGAGGACAGATAAACCAGATGCAGGTCCACCTGCGTCACTGGATAACCTGACTCAGTCCTTGCTTCATAACTGGGATCCAAAAGTGTCCTGTGCAGAGAACAAGGAAGACAAAGACACTCCGAAAGCTTCTAAGCTGAATCCCCATCAGAAAGTAACACTACTTCAGCTGTTACTGGGGCATAAGAGTGAAGAAAAGGTAGACAAGAGTAGTGACCCTCAGGGACCACACAGTGCAGCTGATGTGGCAAAATTCACTGTACAGACTGGTAAAAGGACTCCTGTTACGGACAGTCCCAGTGCAAATCGAATGACTCCATTAAGCACTCCACCTTTGCTGGCTTCTGCAAAAGCAGACTCGCCTATAAATCTCTCGCACCCATCGTTAGCCATCAAGCGCAGCTCGCCACCGTATGCCTGCAGCATCCAGCCGGACAGGCTGGTGAATCCCGCATCTAAGCATTTGATAGACCTGTCTAAAAGCAAAGAAATTCAAGGAGCCAAGCTGAGCAGGAACGATAGTCCCCAGAACTCTTCCGCTTTCAGTGCCAGCAAGCTGTTGCAGAACCTCGCTCAGTGCGGCATGCAGACATCCATGTCGAGTGAAGAACAAAGAGCTAGCAAACAGCTGCTAGCAGGGAACACGGATAAACCTGTTGGCTTGATTGATAGATTGAACAGCCCTCTGCTCACGAATAAGTTGAGTACGCACGAGGAAAATAACAAAATACTCAGTTGTCAGCCTGCACCCTCTGAACAAGGACTTCCAGGTTCGGAAATAGAAAATCTCCTTGAAAGGCGCACTGTCCTTCAGCTGCTTCTGGGAACTCCCAATAAAGGTAAAAGTGAAAAGAAAGAGAGGGTGCTTTTAAGAGATGAAAGTTCTCAAGAACAGACAGATAAGGCTTTGCATGAGCAAATATTGACGGTGAAAATAAAAACTGAACCATCTGAAGAATCAAATGTTCCTTATAATTCAAATGCACAAGTAAGGGAGTGCAAGGGTAACAAATTTCAAGGATTTGTTCATTCACTGCAGAGAAACACAGCTGCTTCTCCAGCAACCGAGGAGTTGAAATCTGAACCTCTTTCACCTCAAGATTTCTCTTTTTCCAAAAACGGCCTGCTAAGTAGGTTGTTGAGACAGAATCAAGACAGTTACCCGGCAGATGAACTGGACAGAAGTCACCGAAACAGTGAGCTGGCACACCTTGAATCAAAGAGTCTTTGCACAGTACCGAAGAAGAGGAAGCTTCATGCTGAGCCTTTGGAAAGCCCGTTAAAGAGGATGAAAAGTAATATGTCTGATGCTGCAAACAATCACGCTTCTCCTCCCGAGGCACTCTACGGGCCTTTGCTTAACCAGCAAGAACTGAAATTCAGCAGAAGCGAAGCTGAATTTAAATACGCTGTAAGTCATGGCTCAAATAATGAAAGTGAAAATAGGAGTTGGTCTAGAGATAGTAAAGGCTTTAATGTGTTGAAACAGCTGCTTCTCTCAGAAAACTGTGAGAGAGATCTGTCACAACATAGGAATAACATACTAATGGAGGGCAAGAAAAAAGGAAACAAAACCAGTGCAACAATTAATAAACCAGAATTCAGCATTTCTTCAGTAAATGCATTAATGGGAAGCCCTGTGCAGCAGAACAATTGTGTAGATCATAGAACATTTCAGTATCCTGTGGCAGTAAAAAGTCCTGCTGGTTCCCCCTTCCCTGAACATTTGGGGAGTACAGTGTCTAGACTCGAGTCCGACCAGTTTAGTGTGTGTCCCATGCCCAGTGAAAAAGGACCCATCAGATGGGTGATCACAGGTATGGACAAGAATGATTATGAAAAAGACTCTCCAAGACTGACCAAAACCAACCCAATATTGTACTACATGTTGCAGAAAGGTGGCAACTCTGTTAGTAGCCAAGAAGCACATGACAAAGAAATCTGGAATGAACCTTCATTTTCTGATAGTTCAACTCACGTTACAATCAAAGAGGAGTTGACATCTGATGCAGAGCTTAAAACTCCTTTTAGTAACTTAAGAAGCCCTTACAACAGCCATATGGGGAGTAAGACCTCTCATCAACACGGTGTAAATGGAGAAGTGCATGGACTTCTGGAAAAAGTGCTAGCAATTAAAAAGGAGCCGGAATAAACTATAGTCTCCTCAATGAGTTTACAATCAGTGGTTTTGAATCTTTGTTTAAAATAGAAAAAATAAAAATGAGTACGGACTTGACTACTGTATAAATTGAGCATGATTTTAGCAAAGCATGGTCTAACTGAAATATGTTTTCATTTGATAAACTTTTTATTTTTCTGGTGATGTTATTTAAAATACATGTAGATAAAATTTGCTTTACAGTAGATTGTCACAAGGAAACTAGAAAGGTGTTAATTTGTACAAGACATTTCTGTATGCATCAGATTAAGTTATGAGTATTCTTTGATCAGAGTCTTATCTGGATCTGCAAGTTTTTGGTATAACATAAAGTGTAAGCGTACAGCCTAGGTGGTGGTAATGCTGCGTTTCCTCCCTCCCTGTAAAATAATCCTTATTTTTTGGAAGCCTGAGCATAGAGACGGTGGTTTGGTGTTTTTTTTTTTAAATGTTTAGTACATTTCGTGAAATTTTAAGTATAACTGAAGAAATGGAGCAGTCCGTCCAAGGTTTTAGCTCGTCATATTGGAGAACCCGTGTCAGTGTTAATAATTGAAATGCACTGAAATGTATTTTTTAGTGCTTCCAAAACTTTTATTGTTATTTTTAAATCTTGTTTGTGGTCCTGCCAGAATGGTAGTGTAAAAATCTATTTTCCTTTTTTGCCCTGCTCTTGACAAATGCCTTCCTCAGAATCCTTAGCCATAGTTAAGAATTACTGGTTACGATTAAGGGTGGTTTTTTCTAGGTTTTTATACAAAAGGCAGGTTTTTCACAGGCCATGCAAGTACTGCATGAGTCTTCTTATTGGTGCGTTCCTGTCACTTCCCTGCTTAAAAAGGGGAAATCCAAAATGCCTCTTGGAGTAGTGCGATAGGAAAGCTTGGTATGCATATTTGGTGAGAAAAACGTTGTGAAGCGGACGAGCGGAACTGCCTGTTTATAGCGCCATCCTGCTTGCCTCTGCAGAACATCATCAGCTGCCCTAAAGCAGCACCTCACCCTTCCACTCGGAGATGGAATAGGATTTCAATGAAAAATGTGTTGGCCTCTTCCTACAGCCAGGGAAGAGAATCCATATTCTGCCAATATTTATTGCGCTCTGAGCAGCTGATGCATGGTTTAATGCACAAACCTTTCACTGCAGAAAATCTGGTTTCAGAATAATTTTTCAGGTTGCAGAGAGGATAAAATTGTGGTTTTGTCATGTTCTGTAATGAATAGTGGGACATGTCTGAGAAATCCTCCTCTGCCCTTTTCCTCAATCCCCACCTGTGCTATGATTTGTAACATCTGGCAATATCCGCCAGAGATGGGAGTAACCGAAAATTGCGGTCAAAGCTGAGACACCTTAAAAGAATTGCTGGCTGGGGAAGAGCCATGCAGCTCCCCTTCCCTGTTAGCACTGTCAGTGTTAACTCCGTTTGCAGCCCCTGGTTCTCGCGGGGGAGGAGGATGACAAAGTCCAGTTCCTCTAAATTACATACATTACTGGCAGCCGTAAGTTTTGCTGAACTTCTTACTCCCTGGAAAAAAAACGTTCTCTGTAGCTTCTAACTTTGCTGATAATCCCCTGTGCCATCAGCAAACAGCTATGTATTGGCTTGCATAGGTAATGAAAGCTGCGCCCTGTTTTAATTTTGACCATTTTCACTGTTGAGAGCCAATGACGTGACAGAACCGCTGTTTCTGTCCGTCTCATGTTGGTGTAGCAGAGATGAGTGATGGGGCATTTTGGGCTTTTCCCTCTGGTTTGCTTTCGGAGAACCTTTTCCCAGACTGCTGGCTTGCCGAGACAAGAGTGGGCTGTTGTCCCACTCCCATTCTCTGCCCCCCCTGCCTGGGATCAGTTTCCTTCCTTTCCAGTGCAGTTCCAATGGAAAGGGACTTATGTCTGCCTGCTGGAAAATGCACCGCTGTTCTGTTTACCCCCCTGGGGGATACCTTCTTTTAGGCAACACAGATATTTGGCAGTATCCGATATAAAACATTCCCCCTGGTTTATATGAGAAATAACAGAGCGATTTAAAGATATATTTTTATGTTATTTGGGTGAAGCGTAATATATTAATGGGCTGTACAAAGAAGATTTATATTTTGAAACCTTCACACAAATCTAATATCATTTTAAATGTCATTGTCTGAGGTATAATATAAAAATAAAATTTTGTTTGTCCTTAATATTGCATTTATAAGTGGCCCAATGACAATTCAGATGTCTCATAGAATAATCATTAACGAGATAAAGTATATTTTGGATTGACAGTGGAACTGAATTCTTTTTATATGAGTCAACTCAGCAGAAATATTAAAAAGATGGTATTTGTTCCATCCATTAAATGTCTCTTAAAGTCTTAATTGATTATTTTTCTTTAAACAACATGTATATAGCTAGGAAACATATACAATATAGAATAATAGATGGTCCCCGGAGTAAATACAGGGCTATAATTTACTTGAAGGACTCCACAGAAAAACGCAGCTTGAATGGACGTGAAATTATCTGGTTGGAAGAACTTCATCAGAACAAAGCTGAGGTGAAAAGTGGGGGGGATTACCGAAAGTAATATTGGAGTCTAGGAGTGTGCTTACCTGTGTATTTATTCTATGGTAGTCTATTGCTATAATATATACTTTTGAATGTTTAGTTTTTAAAGTTTTATAAATCATTTAAGTTAAAATTTTGAAAGTTTGAGCAGTTAATGATTTAGCTTTCTTTCTAGGTGATGGTAATGAAAAGGGTATTACCTACCATTCTCACAGACGTCACTAAATTGTAATACCCAAGAACCTTAGTTTAGGACATGCTGTTCATGGAAGAATCTTACCTCTTCTGGATGTTGCAGTCTCAAGCAGCACGTTACATAAGGATGAGGTGCTTGAGAAGGGAGTAGGGCATGCCAACTGAATGCTATTCAGACAGCTAAGAGGGCAACCATTTTCTGTGTGAGATTATCCAGTATCACTGATGTTACCCCTCCCTAGGGAAGAGAGGTCTTCTTTTAAGATCTACACCACCCATATTTACAGCCTTTAAACCTGAAGACCTTTTTCATTGTTAATCTTGTAACAGGAGTGAGTAAAAATAAGTTGCTATCTTTCTCCTTGGAGACTTCTCCCTCTCAACTGTTCCACCAGAAACGGGAGTGCACGAGCCAGGTTTGCTGTGTGAGCAGAAGGACTGGTAGGGCTCGCCACATTTTCCAAGCACCTCAAAGATTCTCGATTTCCACCAGCCCCTGCAGATGAATGACAAACCGAGGTCACCTGTTGAGTCATGCTTGGCATCCTCAGCCACTCGCGTCTCCTTGGTGCAGTAGACAGTACTAGGATATGCGTTTTGGTTGTCCCCAGTATGTTTCCGTAGTCTGTGGGAGTGGAAGCGTCAGACAGCTCTGCAAACTCGGGAGGCTGACGTTTCAGCTAGGCCTTCAGACTGTAGGCGTGCAGAAAAACGGGGCCTGGTGAGGTATCGGCAGTGGTAGGCAGAGAGGTGCTGTTGCGTGATCTCTCATCATCAGAGGAGTGGGGAGGGAGGGGAGGGGATCATGGTCCGGTTGTCGCTGGGTGAGACTGCTGCCTCCACCTCATGGAGCAGTGAGTTAGGGATGTGCCCGTATCACACTTAAAGTTGTAACTGCAGCCCCTTGGGACTTCTGCCGGGGTTAACTCTAACCTTGGGAGCAGTTCCAGCAGCAGTTGGGTTGCTGAGTGCCCGAGACCTTGCTTGGGGGGCACCTGCAGGCTGGCCTAGCACTCAAGCTAGCTAGGTGTTGTTGCCAGGCAGATAGGCCGTTACTTTCCAGAGGAAAGTGTAGGGGACCGAGATGACTCGATTGCTAGTGTCTCCTCTGCCAGAGTTTGAGGGAATGATGGGGGGTAGCGCATGACCACAGACCCCAAACTGTTTGCTGGAGGGCTTCTCTGCTGATCCCATGTAACCAGGCGGCTCAGTTTGAGGAGTTCATAAACATTACGAGATCAAAAGGGAATTCAGCCATAACTTTCACTTTTCTTAGCCATTTACTCTTAGTAATGTTTTTAGATTTTTAATTTACAAATGTTTTTAAAAGAAAGAAATGAATGGTTTAAATTTTCCCTGTTAAATGTTGGTGAACGTAATACAGCTCTCATTGACATCAGTGACATGATATTACCAGTTTGTTCTCTGCCACATCTTACAGAGGAGTAAACTGGTAAGTATATATTATATATATTTATATATAATGTAAATATGTTGACTTGTTACACCTAGAATATGTTGAAATTGGTTTTTAAAAGGTGATGTAAATAGTGGTTTCCTTAATGAAAAATACATATTTTGTATTGTTCTAATGCAAAGGAAAAAAACCTTTTAATCTTTTTTTGTTATGTATATTCCATGTACAAGTGTAAATATGATCACATAGGTTTAAAAACTTTTGCATGTATGTATACAGTTGCAAGTCTGGAAGAATGTATAGAAAAATACTTTTATTTAAAGTTGTGATTACCTGCTGCATGAAAAGTGCATGGGGGACCCTGTGCATCTGTGCGTTGGCAAAAAAAAAATAATGTCTTAACAAGTCAGGTCAGTTCAAAACACAACAGTATTCCACTTCTGGACATGACTTCTGCTGTGGTATTCTAGCTCTGTGAAAGAATGTGCTTCAAATCTAAAGGGTCTGGGGAAAACAAAAAAAAAAGAAAAACTCAAAACTACTTTTAAAACATGAAGTACTCATACAACTATAATCAAGTCATGCAAGTTCAGGACTCCATTTTGCGTAATTGAAATACTGTACCAGGACTATTCCATCCTTGTAAAACAAAGGAATATTGATTTTTGTTGCCATACATAAGAATTTGGGATTTTACCACAACCAGTTTTATTGTGATGTGTCTTCAGTAATTTATCTAACTGGTCTCATTTTTTTTTTATTAGAAATTAATTTCCTCATGTGATGTCACAAAACTGTACATACTGCAGTGTGAAGTTTTTTTAAATCTTTCAG